TTATTAAAATTCTTTTAGTCTAGCGAAAAGTAAACAGGAAGAAACTTATCTAATATCTTTATTAAAATTTATTTTATTTTAACGCGATACATACTCTTCTATATACTGTATTTCATTAATTTTCATTTGTCAATGAAATGTTAATTATGCTAATATATTCAATGTTTGCGTGAAAACAAATATAAAAGGATTGTAGCAAAAAACTTTTTCCTGACGCCGAAAGAGAAATCTACTGTCGAACCATGTAAGAGAATGTTTTAAGGAGTCAGAAAATCATGATCATTTTTTTTTCAAATACTACGAGCATGAAAATATATTAGAAAATAAATTACCATTTCAAAACACCTAAACGCCATTTTGGAAATAGTTAAACATATTGGTAAGAAAATTGTAAGTAAAACCGGTTGTATGATGCACGAAAACAGTAGTCGTTATTATCTTTGCCAGCTTTGCATCCGCACGTTTGTGCAACAAGTATATTAATTCAGTTTACGTTTAGGTATACTATACTCAAGTTCATAAGTTCTGACGGATCAAGAAAATCGAGGATGTCTCCTATTCCTATTATACCAGTTGTGTATGTACAGTTTCGTCTTCCTAAGTGTTGATGATCCCGCATAAAATACACGGTCACTTACAGAAGTATCCGCCCACCCCATACGTATAACATATTTTACTAACATAATCAATATCGAGTTGGAAATACTGATTATGTGCAGGAATACATATAGTTAATATGCTTTCGATTAACCCATCAGGACTTCTCACTTTTTCAGTGAATTTACATTATTGAATTTGGTTTTTCGTATTTCATTTATGAAATAGGATATCAAACATTGGCATAATATTTTCCTTGTCACCATTACTACGTACTGAAATTTAGAGAAATTGAAGTATTTATAGCACTATGATAAACCAATTTTTTCTTAAGTTATGGAAACTTTTTGGTGTATCTTTCTTATGTAGTGGGTTTCAATAGTATGGTATCCAGTATCATAATGCAATAGTATATTTCGGCAAAATAATATTCATATACGCTATTTTATTTACTATTTTCAATCAAAACAATTGCTCAAACTTGCCTAAATGCGACATTTTTTTACACAAAATATACCGATCCAAACCTTTTTTTTATAGCATTTACATCCTTTCTTATATACTTGTATAAGTAATAAATAATTATATGTGTAAAAAACGCCTTATTTCACTGCTTGAGAAGTGATAGGTTAAAAAGCAATTAATTGAAACAATATACATAGTTTTTTTTAAAAAGTGTTCTCTGTAGAAGTAGTAAAAGAACGCGCATAAAAATATCCGTCCAAAATCATATAATCGAAGCAAACTTATGTACAATAAATTAATTGCAAGATTGCCGGCTGGAATGTTGATATTTATTAATTTCAAAATCACCACTTTTAAATTAAATTCCACGTATTGAAACATACGTTTTTGAAGTAACCATAATAAAATTTGTACACATTTCGGTCGAATAATTTAGAAACACATTTTTGGCCTACTGAAATGTGAACAAATCTAATAAAACGTTTATATAATATGGTAGAACAGTGTCTAAAATTCTAAAACCCACTTAATATCGATAAATTCGTAGAATGTTAAAGAGTAAAATGATAGGAATACCAGCACTCCGCCGAACACATTACAACTTTTACTAGAAGGCGAGACAATGGGGTACAACTTTTCGAACTGACTAAATCACAATTTTCCATAAGCTGATTGACGTATGAAAGAATCGTAAGCCGTAGAATAGATAGGTGGTCCGGGGAGAGAATGGATAATACATAAGGCAGGAACCGGACTCGGATTGGTGGCGTTTCTTCCGCCACTGACAACGCCTCCCTGTCCCGATTATAGTGGCAATATGTTTATACTAGACTGATAATGAATTCATGCTGTGCATAGGGCAACCTACTTGTGAACAGGTTGCAGCAGCATTGCAGATCGGATTGCGCAGATGCTCTTTTGTCGGCAGATGAGTGAGAGCCCTGGGGATGGCAGTGGATGATATCAGATCTGTCCGGGGTCGAAGTAAGAATCAAGGGAATCGGAGGATCGAAGCGTGTGTATCGTTTGTGTGACCAGCAGACACTGCCGTACGGGGATATGTATAGTACTGTATAGACGCAACCGAGGGATCCCACGAGTCCCAATGGGAACACCATCCTCGGGGCTTAATGACAATTCTGACTATTCTATACCGCTCAAACGCTCGTTTGCGCTTGTTTGTATGTATTATGATCATTTGTACTTAAGCGGGTATGCCCACACTGGCCTAATCACGCAAAGGTTTTCTTCGTGATTTCGTCGAGCGGAACGAACCGGCACGAGAAACATACGTCGCCGTCACCATCGAACGAAAATAATATTAATCGTATGTAAACAAACGAATTTTATCATCTCATATCGCAGGAATAGATAAAACCCGATAGATATACACTCTTAACGCGTTTTTCGTCTCGTTATACTCTGTGAATTATTCAGCAGCTTAAATATCTATTAATTACTTTTAGTTGTATTGGAACAATGCAAAAATATTGATGGATTTTCCGCAGACATGGTCGCCATGATTTTGTGGAAACAATAAACAATTATGTTAATGTATTATCTGTCGGTGAATGTAACACTGTGAATTCTTGTTTAGAGCTCAAATTGATGCGGTCGAGCTGTTATATTGTTGAAAATAAAACTGAAATTGAGCATTCGAAAGGAAAATCTGAAAATGAAAGGAATATGTAGTCGTTACAAACACCGTAAGAAACATTATTTGTTACCTGTTTGAAGAAGCTTCTATGTCAATCCCACTATGCGGTAAACTGTCAATTCAATAATGTAATTTAATTATGTAAAATCAATAAGAATGTTCCGAAAATTTGTTTATTAGAATCAAAATTTCTATTGAAAATACATATGTTATACGAAAATCATTAGGTATTTAATTAAATTGTTATTAAATTGGAATTAAATCTATTTAGTATTAGCTTACTCTGTTAGAACAAAACCCATCATTACTTTTACACACACCTATGTAACATAACTGCTTTGTTGCACTTTGAGGTTTCTGTTTTGAAGGTTAATTCAGGACGGGTAACATACATGTAGACAGATTGTTTGGGAAATTATACAGAATGAAAAATATCATACTAAAATGTATTCTCTTCTCAATACTCATGCAAATATTGTATTGGGAGCACAAATTAGTTCGGTCCGTTTTCAAAAAATAGCTCTGGCTGTTATGACTGTTTCATAGTGACAACTGATTTCAATTGTTTCTGAGAGGTTAGATATCTGCCAATAACATTCAGTTTATATTGCTTTGAGTTTCATTTAATACCACTGTTTTTTACTTTGTTGAATATGTCAAATTTTGTGTTAACTAAGCAGCATTTCCGGGAGGTTTTAATTTTCTGCTTTAATTGGAAGAAAAGTGCAGCTGAAGCACATCGAATGCTTGTTGAAGTCTATGGTGAGAATGCTCCAACTGATAAATCATGTAGGGAATGGTTTCGACGCTTTAAGAATGGTGATTTTAGCGTTGAAGACAAGCCTCGCTCTGGACAGCCAAAAAAATTCGAAGACAAACAATTGGAGGCATTACTCGATGAAGATCCGAGTCAAACTCAAGAGGAGCTTGCAGAATCATTGGGAGTTACCCAACAAGCAGTTTCCGTACGATTGAAATCCATGGGAATGATTCACAAGCAAGGCAATTGGGTGCCGTATGAACTGAAACAGAGAGACATTGAAAGGCGATTTTTCACTTGCGAGCAGCTGATTCAAAGGCAACAAAGAAAGGGTTTTTTACATCGGATTGTGACTGGGGATGAGAAATGGATATTCTACGATAACCCCAAGAAGAAAAAATACTACGCTATGCCAGGTCAATCATTGCCATCGACCTCAACATCAACACCAAAACCGAATATTCATGGTTCGAAGGTCCTGCTGTGTATCTGGTGGGATCAAAAGGGTGTTGTATACTATGAGCTGCTACAACCTGGCGATTCCATTACGGGCCATCGGTATAGGCTGCAATTGATTCGTTTGAGCCGTGCATTACGACAAAAACGACCGGAATACGATCAGAGACATGACAAAGTCATTCTTCTGCATGATAACGCTCGGCCTCGTGTCGCAAAAGTTGTGAAAAATTATTTGGAAACGCTCAAGTGGGACATTTTACCGCACCCGCCGTACTCGCCGGACCTTGCTACGAATTAAAAATAAAAAAGTTTCATCGTTGCATTAAGATTGTCTCACCGATACCCAGGAATATAATCTTTTTTTGGCTCGTGAATGGAAAGCCGTCTCGGAGAGCCGAGGCAACAATGTATGCACTCGATGGACTCAACGGCCGGAACGGGGGAATGTACGACAATTGGGTAGTCGAAGCGTTCAATCGTCAACGAATGCCCACAGAGAGCTGCCGCCGAATCAAATGTAGTTGGATCACCTCCAGTCACACATATTTTTGTTATTGGCGGAAACGGTGCACACATAATCGGACTGTGTGGTCGGCTATAATGTAACCATTGGCTGGCGAGAATGACGTAGGTAGGCCACGCAGCTGAGTCGAGTGTAGAATGTAGACAGAAGCTTACTCTCTACAAAGGCGAGTTGCCGAGGCTCGAGCATCGGGCAAAAAACGTATTTACGATGGTCAGAAGCGTTTCGCGTATTCCACGATTATTGTCCCGGCGCGTACTTGAGTTCGGGACAATAATCGCGAGGTCTCTGTAGGGCTATACACCAAAAATAAAAAACAATACGATAAAAACAAGTTATTAAATATATTTTCATGAATACTGTACAATTATTTTAGTTTTACACATTTTTGGTATATTCAATTAAGTTGATGTAATGTTTAGTATAAATACAGTGAAAAGTATTGTCCAGCAATAAACACAAGTACAAGTTGAATATTTTTTAAGCTAAAAAGATACACTTCAATGACTTACTACTTTATTACATTTCATTTCTTCTTTTTATTTCTTAAACTTCTTCGAACAGTTCCTAAATGATAGAAATTGTAGATAAGAAATTGTAGCCAAAAAGTTACGAGTATATGTATATAAATACCTGCATTCGATTTTTTCGTCTTTTTAAATTTTTTATTTTTTAAAAACGGTTTTTCATTTAATGGATAAAACATGGCCGGCATTCTTTCGAAGATTTTAAGCATTGGAGTTGGCACTATTTTATCTAGAGGAATCCAAGGTGGATTAGGTAAAGTAAGGAACTCGTCACTGTAAACTGTATGCAAGTCAAAAATATTCTTCCTATGAACACAAAATATTTATCATTAAATATGTAATTAAATTTATTAAATATGCAAAGATACATTTAAAATTTGTTTGGAATTAAAAGCAGTAAATTAAATTTATGTCATGACAGTTTACTTTTAATATTCAACATTACCCAGGGCTTTCAACTTCTTTGTAAACAACTGCAAATGGTCCATGTCTTACTGTGTGTCTCATGATATAACGTCCTGGAGATAAATTGGCAACACATTGAATAACATTATGTAGAACTGTTAAAGAATTTTCAGCTTTTACATTATAAAGCCGTTTAATTTCGTTATTTATAGATACCGCTGTACGTTGTTCTATTTGCAATACTTCTGAGGTTCCCACCGATATTCGCACTAAAATATGTAATTATATAAATCGAATATTGAGATATAACATATAAATATTATTTACAGTGACACCCAAAACTGCACATTTACAAATTCGTCCAAATATACTAACATATTTTGAAACAATAATTTTATAGTACAAATAAATGATCCGTATGTGAAAACCACTTATACAGGGTGTTCGACAACTAGTGTCAGAAACTTTAAGGGCTGGTTTTTTCATTTTCTAAACCCTCCATCATAATCCTCAACATCTTCCCGGTATTATGTATACATATCGAAGAGATGGCCGGTCATCACTGGGTGATTTTACGTCAAAATAAAACGAAAATCAAAAATAATGAAAATACGTTGGAGGCTTAATTTTCAAGTTATTAAAGTTGTTAACGGTTAAAAGTTTGAATCAACAACTGCTGAAACCAGGTTCCATATAAGCGATTAGCGTAGGGCACGATAATATCGGCAAATTCACTGGCGCTGCCTGAAGAAAATACACCTTTATTTCGTAGCCAAAAATGTGATATGTAATACCTGCACACGAACCGGCACTATCTTCTTGCGACACTTCAGAAAAAACCACACATAAATCGTTCCACGTTAAACCTAGATATGTATCCGTTAAAATCCACAATAGTGAATCACAACACACATAGAATAAACACTAAGCAACATATATGCAGAACCTAACTTAATCTAAACTAAGACTAACTTTTATAAATTACATTAACTCTGTAAAAAAATGCAGATGCTTCTCTGCGAGAATTGTCCGTGAACATCTAAGGACTGTCAACGTAAAATATTGATGCGTACTGGCAAACGAAATCATGTCAAGATCGTTCTCAGCCAGAACTGACTACCCGTGTATTGATGTCCATACGTCTAGATCACTGTTTTTCCTTAGGGAAAGCTGCACAAGAAAATTGTCTTAGGATCAAGCATCATTCTCTTGCTAAATTCCAACATCTGTAGGTCATTCACGTGCGTTGGCGACGCAACCAAAGAACAGCATGTCTGGACGGTGTCATACCTTCTGCTATGTCCCACAGCTCGACCACCTCATTTTCACTTGTTTTTAAGATGTTGCCCTTGCTAGCAAACATCTCTTTTATTGTGTTATTTCCACTCGTCTTTTTACATATGTTTATTCCTTTTCTGTCTTTTTCGTAGTTTTCTCAGTGTGGTTGCAGTCGTCAACGCGAACGCATTATCTAATTCGCGCGAAATAGTCTTTGAAGAAAAGCATCTGTGCTTTTTTTATAACATCACTTTAATTTATTGTAGCGAGTTTTAGTTTAGTTTTGAGTTACTTTAATCGTTATACCTGCGTGCAAGTTCGCGCGCAGATATTACACATTACATTTTTTACTACGAAGTATAGGTGTATTCTTTTCAGGCAGCACCAGTGGATGTGCTGAGACTCTCGTGCTCTATGCTTATTGCTTGTACGAAGATAGCCTGTTTCCGGCGTTGCTGGCCCAAATTGTAAACTGTTAATAACTTGAAAATTAAGCCTCTAACAAAGTTTCATCATTTTTGGTTTGTGTTTTATTTAGTGTTATAAAAACGCCTTCCAAAGTTTCTGACACCACAGCCGAATACCCCTAACACTAAATTGTAAATTTGTGATTGCCTGCAAGTTTGGAACCACCAAGTTGGAGAGTGGTTTAAAAACTGAGTATGATTACACAATATATAAGTTTGAACAATATAAGAATTGAGGAAATAGAGTAGGTGCCTTAAAAGGTATTACATTTCCATTGCTTGTAATTTAATAATATTGTTTTGATCCAATGTGAGAATATTTGGAAAAGTTTATAAAGTGTGTTCAGTTTTGCTCATTGTTAAACCTATAATTTATAAGAATTTCTACAATTTTTTGCAATACATATATTAATTAAAACTTGATTAGTTTTTAAACTTAAATCATTTAGAAAAACTCTTGAATTAAAATAACTACAATTAGAATTTAATACATTATGAATTGGTAAGACTTGAATGGTTTACCTCGTGCAAGAAATGTGAGGGGTCTAAATATCAGAGATATCCATTGTCTTAACGATTCTTCTAATGTTACAGCTTCAGCACCAAGATCAGGTTGATGTTCCAATTTTGGCGCCAGTAGTAACAATTTTTGCACATTATTTGGTAAAATCTATGATTCCAATAAAGTATTTTGTTAATGTTTTTATAATTGCATACAACAATATTCCTTCCTGTAAATAAATGTACCACATATACGAACCTCAACTCCATCTGTTTTTGATCTAACCAACATTTTGTACTTTTTAATAACATTTTTCATTAGTTCATTTTTTTCTGAATTTTGTGGTCCAATAGTAAACAGCTTATACGATACGTTGCTTTCTGTAGTCATTTTAGAACTATTTTGTACACCTAATTCAGAAAATACATTATTTTCTACATTTTAACTTATTATTTTTAAGATCTCTAATTCACAATTTGATTGATGGTTTCATAATAATTTTCAGATATTGGGTAATAATATAATGTTTATAACATTGTCTATAATATATTATACCAGTATGAATGTAAAGTATATGCATTTACAAGAATTTTTACCTGTAGTGTTTATTGTAAAATTAGAAATATTGGACTGTGGAATATCATTTACAGATGGTTGACTACTGGACTTTACACCTTCGGAAATACTTGGATCGATTTCTACATCTCGTTGTTTTAAGAATTTTTCAGTGCTTTCATTTATTCTTAACACATTTAAATGTGAGTTATCATCAATGTATGGTGAAGCACTACCATGTTCTTCTTCTAGTTTTAAGAGTTTCTCAGAATTGATGTCTCCAAATACATTGTCATCATACGTTCTATTACTATTATATCATGTTAACAATTATTAATAATATAACATAAAAAAGACATTCATAGCAAACAGCTTACTGTCTTACCTGTTTAAAGAAGGATGTTTTGCGTCAATAAAGGAGTATTTAAGAATATATTTATATACCCAAGTATTTTTTTTTGATACAGTGTTTGCTGGTGGTGGTCCTGGTTTATCTATATAGATAACATTTTTATCATTGTGTCTCCTTATAACTAGTGGTAGAACCCATGAATTCGAATAAGTGGGTCCAATATTATTTACTAAACAATTAAGACCACTGGATGAAATTACTAAATCCACATTATTACTTTCAGCCAATCTCTGACAATTTGCATCTTCACTTACTGGTAATTTATAACACATTGGTGATTTATTTGGCACATAGTTTTTATTAGAAAACCTTTTTTCTAGTTGTTTAGACGTTATACGTAACATACATGGACTGGTCAAAGTTGGTAATTTAACTTCTGGCAACTGACCCTATATAATTCAAAGCAATTTAATAAAATTTTAATGTTACTTTTTTTTTAACATTTTGAGTGCTGCGCCAAATTCACGTGACTTTCCATTTACACCGCGTGGGCCATTGATGATCCACATTACTACATTTGTTATATGGGTTTGTTTTTAAGTGGCATGAAGGGAAAAACCAGTGTCTCTTCGATGGTCCACGCGGCAGTCAATTTATTAATTTGATATTTAGAATCAATTGACTCATTGATTTAAAAAAAAAAGATATATTTTCAATTGTCGTATGTTATAAATAATATTGACAATTCAAGAACGTACTTTAAAATAGTTTAGAACATGAAATTTGAATTAAAGGAGATATATTACCCTATTAAATATTTAAATTTCAATGGCAACATAATTCATGTTCAGTAATATAATTTTATATGTAACTTTTTATGAATATATAATATAATAATGACATAAGTTTGGTACGATAGTTACACTATTATATTCATTGCGTAATGTAAAACTAACTCAATGGCAGTATATCCCTACTATAATGTATTTGCTAGAATGCAGTGCTCAAATTGAACATTACTAACTTAAATGTGTGGTGCATACTAAATACTGAAGTTCAGAAAATATCAACTACTATAGTGTAACATTAAAATACATTTTTGATTAGGTATTTGTTGAAAGTAGACCTACGTACAGTGGACTCTAACTATATTGAAAAATGGCAATGAGCTCAGAGCCCCCTCCATGCTAAGTTCTATCGTCATAGCCACGGCCTCCGTGCTTGCGCAAAAGCTGGACCGTGTTGGTGTACCAGAGTACACAACATGGTGGGAGAGTGAATTTGTGTGCTCGAAAATATGTGTGAAGGGGAAATGCCTCGCGTGGCAATATGTTTAGTGGCAATATAGTTAGAGTCCACTGTATTACTTTATATTTGAAATACTGTAAATTCATTATAATATTCAGTGATTAAGTATTTTCCCTCAAATATGTGTACAAAAAAGGGGGTACGTCTTATAAGCTGGAAAATACGGTAATTAACCCTTTCGATACGAGCGTCGGCTATAGACGGCATCCACGCGACGACCTGTGTGTACGAGCGTCGGCTATAGACGACGTCAGCGTGATACCGCTTGAGCATCAGCCCCGCGATATTCTTGTTTTTAGGCATCGTTTTGTTATGTTTGTAGGCATATTGCACATATGTCAATATATATCAAATATATCACACAAGTCCGAACACCAGTTTACCGAAGCGCAACATGCACACTTTCCGGCGAATGCTCCGTTCAGTAGCGTTACTCCTGCGGCACGGTGGCCCGTTCAGCGGTGTCACTCCGACGGAGCGCATTGCCGTAGCGAAAGGGTTAAGACAAGTTACTAGTTTCATGTTAAATCAAACTATGTATTCTATTGTTTTCAGAATATTACTTGTTATGGCTAATAACTACTTGGAAATTTTAGTAAAAGAGAAATAACAATTTGTTCACAATTTTTTACAAAGTTATGCGGAATTTAAAGTATTATCTAGAGTAAATCTGAGAAATCTCATTAACTAAATTGTAATTTTAAGTTTAAATTTCAAATACACATTACTATATTTTTTAAAATACTGGTGAAAATATATCTTTTTATAGCAAGAAATCATGATAACTTTAAAGAATTAAAAAAAAAATGACATTTTAGAAAGAAAATTTTTGTAGATAACTTGTATTTACTCTTCTATAAACATTATGTTGTACTTATTCAATATTTATATATGTAATACTCACCATTTGTAAACAAACAGAAACAAATTTGACTTCAATATTCTTATCTGTTACAAATGGTACATTTGTGACTTCAGCATAATACCTAGGAAGTTTATGTATATATTGTATTTTTGATTTCCAACACAAATTCATGTAATCTTCACATGTAAGTGTCAATAACCTTTCACGCCACTTGCTTTTAGCAAAGTCTAAAAATTCATCTTGTTCCTGAGATATTGTTTTTTGTAGATCCTATTGAGAGTCAGTTTTGGTTTATCTGATTCTGAAAATCTTAATAAAACTCGTAAACACATTGCTTGTTCTTCTTTACTTAGGTTAGACTTTTTAGGAAATTTAAATATTGGTTTAATAATACCAGGCACATAAAACATATTCTTTTTTGTTTCATTCGTTTCAATTTCCTTGTTGCTTTCAATAGTCACAACATTATCGTTTTTATCTTGTTCATTTAAATCTATTTCTATGTCTTCCATTAAGTCAGTTCTAATCTTTTTGTAGTCATTTTCAATATTTTTAAAAGGGTCAATAAAATTCCCCGTTATAATTCTATGCATAACACTCTCTTTCTCCAACCTTTTTTCACTAATAAAAGTATTGTCTATCAGGTCTTCCAATGGAGGATTCCTAAGAAATAAAATGTAATTGTTAGCAAGACAATACTATTATACTTTATTCAACGAGTTGAATCGGTAACTGTAAACAAAAGGAAGGGATGACCATTTATGTGAGGCAGGGATAGAAAGAGTTACCAGCTAATAGCTGGACTTAGCACATGAATGTTTTGGTTATTTTTCCTGACTTGTCTTATTGAATGCACAATAATTATTTATGATCAATTATTTCAAACTACAATCATGAAAACGTATTTATATTAATCGCATAGGTTAAGTTCTAAAATTGCTTACTATATACTTACCAATCGATACTTAAGAATCTATCCATAGCCCTTGGAGTAAAAAAAATGTTTACAGAACTATAATATTTTTAAATACTGTAACTGTAGTACGCAATACTTAATGGTATGTCAACACGGTCAACACTGCGAAAATTATTCCATTTGTGACCAATTTGTATGACGGAGCCATGTTGTGTTGTTTTGAAGTACAGTCCAGTACAGTCGGTGTCAAAAGTATTCGTACACCTCGTACATAGGAATGAATCGATACAAGTAAATACGAGTACATTACTCGATACTTTTATTTCGATACCGCGTACTGTTGGTATCGATACCTTTGGTTACGATACCAAGTAGGTATCGAACAAAAGTACTCGTATCGAATGGAGTGAGTATCGACCACGGTCGTATACAGGTCTGGAACAGGTGAACGTTCGTTTAACAGATAAAATTGTCCAGTCACATTAGTTATTAAAGATTTTATTCATAAAATTTGTTAATAAAAACAGAAAACCATCATGTATAAAAACAAATAGGAAATGAGAACGAATTTCAATTAAGAACCTGATTCTGACATCAAATTATAAACCTGTATTTAAAAGTTACAAATATTTGTATTGTTAATTTCTGTGTTAAACAAAATTATATTTCGTTTAAATTGAGTTATTTGTTATCGTTTAAATTTATATTAATAAACATAATAAGTTGAAGTTAAAAGAAGAAGTTCTCCTTTACAAATTGGAAATAACGAACAGAGCGGATTATCGCTCCACGGGCACTAACCCAGCTCTTTGATTTATATTTTCCCCAAATCTGGATGCAACAAGACATACAGTGCCACAGCCGAGTTGGGCGGCGGTGGCGCGAACTATCTGTGTGCACAGTCGCCATAATAATACCACCGACTAAGTATAGGATAGACCTATCATCTTATGGAATTTCGTGTCTCATGTTCTGAAATACCGATAGTGTAAAAAGTCAGGGATTTTCTGCTGCCCTCTACGTTATGAGAACGGTGAATTTGTGAACTACGTTGAATCTAAAAAGGGACTATGGTCGTGAACGGATTCTCTTCCGTCCGTTCGCTATAAAGGAGACGTATTAGAAAGGAGTCTTGGGTTATAATCCCGACGGATCTATATTAATTTTTCTTCGCGTACCAAAAAGTTATTGCGTTTAATATTGTTTTTATGGATATGTATATGTATTATTATGTACATTGGAGTAAATTATTTTATTATTCCATTGTTATTACAACAGTTTAACAGTGACAACGAACGCATGCATATTTTCAAATATCGGACTAATAGTATATTTTTATTCTATATTATTACATATAAGTGAGTAATACGTATCAAAAACGTAATCGAAACACAGATTTTTATTACACCACAAACATCGCATAAAAGATATTTCGTTATATTGACATTTGTAATAATTATGGATGTTGCAAGGAAATCAATATTATTGACATTATGGAACATATAACGAAATATCACTGTAACACTTAAAAAAGTTTTAAAGTTCCATTTATATCATTGTCCTGTGAAAATGTTCATACTTCCAGCAACATTCATATTCCAATCAAAGAATTTACAGAATAAGGAAAAGGAATCTAAAGTAATTTTCAGTAGTTCCATACATCTTTATCTCGAATACTTTTCTAAAACATTCAAAGTACTAGACATTTTTACACTTTGAATCTCATATCGATTTCTAAAATAATCCTAGTTCGATGTAATATAGAACGTGGTTTTATGAGATAGATTCGAAGTTCGCAGCCATTAGCTCGATATTGTCATCAGTTTACAGTACTTTACCGATGATAATACCGATTGCCCAGGCCTCACCACGAGGAGATTGCTGCGAGTGGAGGCCCAAGGCAGGTAGATGGAATCA